AGGGGCCGTTAGGGCTTGATGTACAGGTCATCATGTGCAGGTCATCATGTCGACCGCCATTTTGATGTTATTGCTGCGTGCAGGCCCCCTTTTTTTGTCTGTCTTTCTTCGTATTAATTTTGTCTGTTATTGCTGCGTGCAGGTCATCATGTCGAGCCGCAAGTATGAAGCCAGCCTTGTCAAGCGCCATTTTGATGTCCTTGGCCCCGCGGGCAAGGATCCTTCGAAGGGGGGAAAGTGGTGGGTCTGCCATTACTGCGATCTAAAATTTTCGGGCAATCTCAATCGCCTGAAGGAACATTTCACAAAGGGGATTTGTGCAGTTGAGAAATCAACGAAAACATTGACCGCAGAGGAAATCTTGAGAAGGAAGGAAGGATTGCGGCAGGCAAGGACAGACTCGGGCATGGCAAGGGACAGTGCCAATACTCTACCTGTTCTCACCAATTTGGTGGCTGCTTCTACGGGCGGGGGTTTGGTCGAAAAGGTGGGTGACGCCTGTGGCGAAGCAGCGGGCGTCGCTTGTGGCGAAGAGGTGGGTTGCAGCGGGCCAGGTATCACGGTGCAGCGCCCAGCTGCATCTGCTGCACCTGCTGCACGGATGCGACAGATGTTGTTGGAGGAGACCGACAGCGTCGTCACAAAGAATGAGCAGCCGTCAAGAAGGGTAGACCGCTGGATGACGTGCACGAACCAACCATTCAACATGGTTGAGAACGAGTTCTTCAACGACACGGTGGACGCCATACGAGAGGCCCACCCGTCATGGAGACTGCACTCGAGAGAGGCGGCGTGCAATGGTCGATTAAACGGACAGCACCAGAGGGCGATCGAGGACGTTGGGAGATTGGCGAAGAAGTGGGATCCCACCGACTGTATGGTGCAAGTAGATGGGTGGTCTGACCGGCGGGGAAGACCACACGTAAACGTCATGGTGTCCTCTCCCATCGGCACCGTCTTTTGGAAGTCGGTGTGCGTAGCGTGAAAGGACGAAGACGCCTGTGCATACTGCGATTGAGGAGATTGGCCCAAGAAGCGTGGTCGGGGTGATCATGGATAATGCCCGGGTTTGTGTGAAGGCCGAGAAGTTGGTGGAGAAAAAATACCCGTGGATATTCCGGGTGGGGTGCACGGCGCATGCCCTTGACCTCGCGTTGGAGGACATGGACAAGCGCATTCCGTGGTTTGCGGAGACTGTGAAGAGGGGGAATGTGTTGGGGAAGTTCGTGATGAACCACGACAAGGTTCGAGCACTCTTCCTGACCAAATCGGGTGGTGGCGAGATTAAGAGGCCAGGCGACACTCGATTCGTGACCAACATCATCATGTTGCAGTCGCTGTGGGACAGGGGAAATATCCTGAAATTGACTGTGGCTGCCAGCGGGTGGGTCTCCTCCCTGGTGCCGCCCCACCTGCGTTCTCAATTCGAGGAGGTGACGGCGACTATCTTGGATGGCGGCTTTTGGGAGCGGGTGGACAAGGCCTTGAGGACCACGGAGCCCATCGTCAAGCTACTGAAGCTCGTCGATGGTCCGGGCGCAACAATCACCAAGGTTTATCATCGAATGGATGGTGTGGTGGAGTCGATTCGCAAGCTGGACATCTTGGCAGACTTCGAGAAGGCAGAGGTCGAGTCGATCCTCATGGATCGATGGGCGTTCATGACTTCAGAGCTGCATTGTGCAGCAGCCTTCTTGGACCCGGAGTACAGATCGCAGAGCTCCTTCAAAGACACTGAGATCCGAGCCGGGTTCAACATATGGTTGTATACCTGGTGCTCAAACGAGATGTTCGATGATGTGAGCTGGCAGGTTGACGAGTGGGTGCACTTGAAGGGGGCCTTGCAATCAGAGGAAGCTTTGCGCGCAGCACGCACCAAGACCCCGGCGATGTGGTGGGATGCGTTTGCATCGCGACTGCATCTTTTGCAGCCCCAAGCGATCAGACTATTGGGCCAGGCAAGCTCATCCGCGGCATGCGAACGCAACTGGAGTCTGCATGAGCTCATTTTTGGCAGGAGGAGGACGAGGATTCTGCCCACCCGCCAATCAAAGCTCGTCTACAACAATTGGAACCTCCACCTGCAGTGGAGGCAAGAGCGCGGCCGTGGTGTGGATGATGTCCACATTCCGTGGGTGGAGGAAATGCCGGACGCCGAGTTGAAGGAGGACGCAGAGCAGTTCTACAATGATTGGGTGAAACGGGTGAAGAACAGCATGCCGAGTGGCGAGAAGGAAGAGGAAGGCGAGGAGGAAGAGGAAGGCGAGGAGGAAGAGGAAGGCGAGGAGGAAGAGGAAGAGGAAGAGGGTGAGACTTCTGCACGGGGAGGTGCAGAGGATTAGGAAATTTAGGCGGAGTTGATGCCGCTGACTGCAAAGTTTGCGGTTTCGCAGTTTATCTTTCGCTGTTTGGTTGCACTTGGAACGAAGTAAGAACTGTGAACTACAACTTCTAGCAGTTGTAGTTCATCTTCTCATTATCAGTTAAGTAACTTAAGTAAGTCTTTAAGTTAGCATTTTGTCCATTCTTCCCGTGTTGCAATGTGCGTGTGTGGTTTTCTGTCATTTGCCCATTTGCAGTGTTCTGTTTTGCTAGCTATGCAGTATTTCTGTGTCTGCATCAGATAACAAGGAATAACAACTTAACAGGTGAGTCCCCTGCCACACTGCCTTCCCCGCCAATGCATTTGCTACAGTCCCCTTCCCTGCATAACCTTGAAAAAAAAAAAAAAAAAAAAAAGGGTCCCTACCAACCCGGACGGTCTGGGAAACGCACCGCTTCAATCCCGGACCAAACCGTACCGGACGGAAGAGTCCGAGACCGCACCCCATCCGGTCCGGTCCGGGTCCGTCTGGTCCGGGGGGAGGGTGCCGAACGCGGACAAGCAGACCGGACCAGACGCTCGTCTGCGAGGGTGAACAAGTAACTGGTATTGGGATACATTCATCACCATGTATCTCATGATGCCTCGAGCAGGCCATCGGACAGACGCGGAAGAGTTCCTGTCAGATCCACCCCAACATCCGAATTTCACATTTTAAGTTCTATTTCTCAGAGCCAAAAAAAAAAAAAAAAAACGGAGTCTGGAAATCAACCCCCCCCTTTTAAATCCATAAAATCCAAACTTCCCGCCCACGCAAAGCCACGAGCTATCATGTCCAAATTTTTTTTTGTTTTGTTTTGTTTTTCAACGCATCTCATTGCAGGGGAGGTGGGCATCTTTACAGTCCCCGCAAGGAAACTACCAGGTCGTCGAGATCGTCAAGATCCAATGTGTTCGACGGCCATACTGCGTCACTCGAGGCCACACGTGATCGAAATCCTAAACGGAGTGGTAGAATACTTCGCTAATGGGTCCTCGGGTCTAGACCCACCAGCGAGGTTTTTTTTTTTTTTTTTTCTTTGCTCAAATTCTTTTTTGCCTTTCACTGTCATCCTACCACTACTCCTAAGATAATATATAGAGGGGGGACCCCTGCAAGCATAGGGCCTCGCAAACGAGGTAAATCATGTTGCCCCCTGCCCCAACAGCGGTAGTCAGAGATGGAGTGGGGCCGCCCGTGGGGGATCGGCTAACGAAAAGACCGAGCATTTTGCCAGTAGCTGCACCTCCCTTTCTGATTGTCCCCCACCCCTCATCAAGTAGTGGCAGAGGCTATGGCCAACACTCTCCCACACACCACACACAACCCACTCACGCTCGCACTCACACCCGTGTTGGTCATAGACGCCGCTAATACCGATCAGGGGTATCCAGAGGACTATCACAGTCCGTTGGCACTAAGTGTGTCACAGTCAGTCGCTCATGGGGCTTGAACCCACAACCTCCTGAATGCCACTTTGAGTGCCTAACCAACTGAGCTACGCCGCTGGATCCAGCCAAGTATTTTTATTCGGAAGTGAATGAAAAACATGAATTACCTCGTTTGCGAGGCCCTATGCTTGCAGGGGTCCCCTCTCTATATAGTCTTAGGTATGTAGGTAGTGTGAGGTGAATTTGAGAGAAGAATATAGCTTTAAAAAAAAATTAATAATAATAATAATAATTTCCGTTTCTTTTTTTTTATTGGTTTAGTTTTTTGTTTTTTTTTCCACATGAAATTTTATTTCGAACAAGCCCGGTGCCCAAGGCTTACATCAACATAGCAGAGGATAAGATGAAAATATAAGGGACGCCCGGCCCGGTTCCCCGCTGCTTTTGGGAAAAAAGAAAAAAAAACAGAGGGCAGCTGGCCTCGGGTGCACTCCCCATCCCCAGCCATCCCTCTGTAGAAAACCAGAAAGCAAAAACACTTCTCCATACACTAATTCCTAATACTACCTAAATGGCCTAAAAACTCAAAGAGACGGGACAAAAACACCGAAAATCATGACACGGAAAGCCTATGGCGAACACAACCACCAAGCCCCGCAGCTAAAACCTAAAACAGAGGAAAACCGGTAGAAAGCCACAAAACAAAAACGCTACTCAACCATCGAATTCCTAATAACACTTAGATGCTATCGAAATCTTTTCCACTTAGATACTATCGAAACCTTTTCCAAAACCATCATCCCCAAAACACTTGAAAAAACGTGGACAACCTACCGACTAAAAAGAAACCAACAAGCCAAGATTGGCCAAGAAACCCAAACCTACCATACCACCAACAAGCCGATTCTAAAACTAAAAAAACAACTCAATCTCAAAGACCAATCGTGGACAATCAAGAAACCCAAACCTACCGTACCACCCACAAAGACATCGGGCCAGCATCTCGCACGTAATTAGCTCCGTTTGCTCTGTATCACCGAATAACTCCGACTCCAACACTGCTAGGGCACAGGAAAACTCGGTTTGCCAAAAGTACCAATACTTGCCAGAACTACCAATACTTGTCAGAACTACCAATACTTGCCAAAACTACCAAATACTCACCAGTCAATGTCAACGACCAGTGATAAACGCTCAGGAAAATAGCACAGGCCCACTCTCTTTCAAAATAGGGAACAAGCCCGCACAGACCAGGCCCACTGTCTTTCAAAGAAGGGAACAAGCCTGCCCTTCACGCCAAAACCACTTCCACTCCCAGGTAACAAGTGAGCAAACAGCTGCCCACTCCCTTTCAAATAGAAAGCAGGCAACCACTCCCTTTACAACAACGCTTCAAATATCAAGAAGCGGAGAGGAAAGTGAGGTCGTCAGACAACGAAACCACTTCCGCAGCATAAGCAGTCATACTCGCCCCAAAAAGCAGTTCTCCACAAGGGAAGCTGTCCTGAAACGCTAGCGAATTCGCGACGTACAAAGCACGCTCCATGTATAGTCTTCGAATCTCCGGCCAGATGCACCATCGGTGCCCTGGTCACAGCTCCATATAGCGTATCGCAGGCAGCGAAGAAAACCGTGCAGCACCGCGACGCCCAGCACCCACTCCCAACATAGCTGCGGCAGACTCCCCACCCGCCATGCTGGCCAAGCTCTGCTCCCGCGTGCGAACGAAAGCAGCCGCCGTGGGCCGCCAGGGACAGCCGGGCATGGCGACCTCAGCTTCGGGCAACGCCCAAGCCCCTGGCGCTGGCAGCTTCGGGCGATAGCGCTAGGCCGCTTGGCCAAGCGCCGCCGCAGCCCCCCTGTCTTATTGGTTTAGTTTATGGTAACTGTCCCCCCGGTACTGCGAACTGGAGGCCGCGTCAGACGGGATCTTTGGGTGCCGATCTGTGTCAGATTTTGCGGGTGGAAGGCATTGAATCCTATGGGCTCTCTCCACCCCTTTTAAAATTTGTGTTTCCAAACAAAAGTGAATGTTCCGCGTGAACACGGAAAGATGCACCAACACGATTTTACACTTTTGTGCACTGATACCACGCTGGGCGTGGGAACGCAGCCAGGACGGCGGCCCACAGAAAACCAAAAAACGAAAACGCCGACTTTTTTTACTTTTTTTTCCCCCTTATAGCCTCAGGTGAAGACGAAACGAGACGTGCATGCATCTGACCGCAACTCCGTCCCGCCCCACCGCTGCAGGCAAAACGACACCTACAGACCTTGCTCTGGCACCACAGCTGACGTAATATAGCACTTACCAGAGGGCCTTCCTCGTCAGAAGCAGCGTCACGACTGTAAGATCAATACCAACCAATACACTGTGCGAACGACTCAGGGGCAGAGTCCATTGCTGCTATGTTTGTGCCTGAAAAGAATGAATTCGGCGGCAATGGTGACCAGATTCGTGATTTCTCAGTACAAGGTAACATACCACTTACCGGTGGGCCTTCTTCTTCTTCCTCTTCAGAAGCAGAGTCACGACTGTGAGATCAATCCTGCTGCACCGCGTATCAGCTGGCGCTGGGCGGACCTGGTTGAAAAACAATGTGGACCAAATATTTGCACCCAAGTGGTCCCCCAGCTGAGAACCAAACCTATCTGGTACGGTCCAAGCCTAGCTGGTCTGGTTCCTACCAGGCCTTAACCACA